TTTCTTTAATCTTCTTTAAAAAAATTTAATATAAATTAATTATTTAGTAAAAATGTATATGAAATTAATATTAATTTTAATAATATAATAACAATAACTATTTTATAATATTTAATTTTATTTTTTTAACCATTAAAATTAAAAGTGTAATTAATTAAAATTTTAAATTTTAAAAAATAATTAATTTTAGTTAGGTCATTTTGTGTTGACCCAATTTGACTCCAAGCCAATTTAGTTGGATCTAGATATTTTTGGTTTAGATTATATTACATTTTTTTTATTAATACCTTAAAACTATGATCTGACTTGTAACAGGAGGATTGGGTTAATATTCAAATTAGGTCCAATTTTATGAAATTTATATGTAGATCCCACATAATCAAAGGTCCGACCTTCATATTTATGGTGCTAGAATTTCCCTTCAAAAATGTCTCTAAATGATGTCTCAAATGGTTAAAGTTTTAAAATTAAAAATTAAAAAATTTGAGTTTGAATTTTAAAATAAATAAAGAAGAATAAGTGAAGTAATGGATTATTCTATATTATATAACTTATTCTCAAATGTTAAAAAAAAAAAAAATTTCCCTTCAAAAATACTTCATGTTTCTTGCATGAACACTAATATACGGGGTGAAAAATCAGTGCCATCAAAGTGGTGTAGAACCCACATCCCGAATGCGTGTGATTTTTTCGTCCCACTTTTTCATCTCTTTTTTTCGTTCTTAATATTCTTTTCCTTCGTGCATTAATTATAATGTCATTTTATAATGGACATTTGATATCATTGGCTACGTTAGTAATGAAAGCCTGACTCAATCGTCATGAATGACTCAATTGTCATGCAAATGCAAGTTGGGCGGCATTAATAAGTTCAAAACCAACAAACTGTTTGTTGGTCAGAAAAAGTTTAACTTCTTTTTTTTTTTTTTTTAAACAGTGTGAAATTCTTTTTCAGAGAAGGGAAGCTCTTTAGTCCTAAGCATGTCTCGGCAAGAAGTAATCATTGAGCCACCAAGTGCTGGACGAAAAAGTTTAACTTCTTTTAAATAACATTTTGAGTTCTTTGAATATTGTCCACTATTCTTTTCCTTCGTGCATTAATTATAATGTCATTTTATAATGGACATTTGATGTCATTAGCTACGTTACTATGAAAGCATGACTCAATCGTCATGAATGACTCAATTGTCATGCAAGTCAGGCGGCATTAATAAGTTCAAAATCAACTATCTGTTTTATAGGTAGAAAAAGTTTAATTTTTCTTAAATAATATTTTAAATTTGAATATTGTGAATGAAAAGATAAATAATAAAAGAGACAAACAATAGAAGAGGTTTCTCTTTATGAATATGATATAGCTTGATTTTGAGCTGTGTAGTGTTAAATGTAATTTTTGATTACAGAAAAATTTATTTAAAAAAATAATAAACTTAGGTGGAACCCATCATATGTAATAAAACACATTTGGTTAAAAGTTGATTTTGGTAGCTCAACTTTAAATTTATACTTTTTTAGTCCTTACATTAATTTGAATTTTAAACTAATTAGAAAAATTTATACTAAAGATGACCATGGTTAAGAGAATGACATTTTTTAAGCACATCTAAGAATTGAAGGATGGCAT